AGGGGGAGGCAGGCAGACAGGGTGGATCCGAGGAAGAATTCCAAGTGCCCTCCCCCCGTGACCTGAGCCCGTGAGCATGATGACCACCCTCGGCAAGGGCAGAGCCCTGGATGGACTTGCTTGTGTGATAGCCACAGGAGGATGAGGGCAGAGAAGGAGTAGAGATCTCCTAGGAATGCCTTGGAGGCATCTTATAAAAACTGTGTCAATGGCCTGTGCTAAGAGGCGGGTCTTGTTTCATTTTAAAGCATCTCTGCCTATTAAAATGCTATTTTCAGTGACAGAGCCCGAAATCCTCTTGACTTAAACTCTTCAGTGTTTTTACAAAAAACTTTTGATTGTACAATAGAATTTTTTTTCAGTTATTTAGAAAAACTAGTTCTTCTCAGCAATTGTACTCCTACGTATTTACCCAAATGAACTGAGAACTCAGGTCCACATAAAAACCTGCCCATGAATGTTTATAACAGCTTTATTAATAATCATCACAACTCGGACGCAACCAAAATGTCCTTTGATTGGTGAATGGATAAACCAAATATGGTACATCCATACAATTGAACATTATTCAGCAATAAAAGGAAATGAGCCCTGACTGGTTTGGCTCAGTGGATAGAGCATCAGCCTGCGGACTCAAGGGTCCTGGGTTTGATTCCAGTCAAGGGCATGTACCTTGGTTTCAGGCCCACCCCCAGTGGGGGGGTATGCAGGAGGCAGCTGATTGATGTTTCTAACTCTCTATCCCTCTCCCTTCCTCTCTGTAAAGAATCAATAAAATATATTTTTTTAAAAAAAGGAAATGAGCCATTGAGTCACAAAAAGATATAAAGAAATTAAATATATGTTGCTAAGTGAAAGAAACCACCACATACTCTGATTCCAACTATATGCCATTCTAGAAAAGTCAGAATCACAGAGACAGTAAAAGATCAATTGTTTCCAAAGGGATCAAGTGAAGAAGTAGAGAAGAATCAGTGGAGCATGGGGTATTTGGGGGGCAGTTAAATCAACTGCATGAACCTGGAATGATGGATACATGACACTATCCACCATTGTTGATCACCATGTCATTATCTGCATCTGTCAAAACCAAAAGAATTGTACAATACAAAGCATGATCTCTAACATAAACTATGGACTTTAGTTATCAATATTGTATCACTACAGCTCATCAATTATTAAAAATTTAGCACAGTAATGCAAGATGTTAATAACAGAAGAAACTGAGGTGGAGGGGGGGGGGAGAAAGAGAACATGTGAGAACTCTCTGTACTTCCTGCCCAATTTTCCCGTAAGCATGAACCTGCTCTAAAAAATAAAACATTATTAAACACTAGAGGCCCAATGCATGAAAATTCATGCACTTGGGAGGGGGGATCCCTCAGCCAAGCCTGCACCCTCTCACAGTCCAGGACCCCTCGGGGGATGTCCATCTGCTGGCTTATGCCCACTCCTCATCAGTTGGACATACTTAGCGCTGCTGAGGAGGCAGGAGAGGCTCCCGCCACCACTGCTGCGCTTGCAGCCATCAGCCCAGCTTGTGGCTGAGCGGAGCTCCCCCTGTGGAAGCACAATGACTACCAGGGGGCAGTTCCTGCATTGATCACCTGCCCCCTGGTGGTCAGTGCGCATCATAGCGACCAGTTGTTCCCAGTCGTTCCTCCATTAGGGTCAATTTGCTTATTACCCTTTTATTATATAGGATAGTTTATCTGAAGATGTTCTGTATCCTGAAAGCAATCACAATGTTCCTCTGTATTCCTTTTAGAATACACATAATGGTAACAACAACCACATACTATCATTCACCAGACAGGCAGTATATGTATGATCTCATTTAACCCTCACAGAAACCCCCTGAAAAATTGAGGTCAGAGCAGTGAAAGGGACTTGCCAGGGGTCTCAAAGTCTTTAAGTGGAAGAGGTAGGACTTGAACTAAAGTCTGTTCAAGCCCAACTTTATAGCCCTACTTTGTTGACTTATTGTTCAGAGGTCATCAATGGGCAGCACTTCAATAAGTCAATAAGGAGACAGGGCAAGTCTTGACAACTCCTGGATTTAATCATTCACTCCCAAATATTTGCTCAGCACTTGTGTTCTAAGCACTGGCTAAATTCATAGAATATAAATATTTTTTTAAAAAATACTCCCTCCTCCTATAGGAAGCTCATAATCTAGAGAAAAAGACAGATAAAGAAATGAAAGCCCTAGGACAAGGGCAGGCAGTTGCCAGCTACAGAATCTACATACTATGACAAGGATGTGGGAACAGCCCTCTGGTGGGAATGGAGATGACCATGGAATTTGTCTTGAAGTTGTGTTTACATAAAAAGCACCCTCGACACCCTAACCATCCTCCCTCTAGAGATAGGAGATGAAGAGCATGACAACCCAACTCAAGAATGAAAAATATATAAAAATCTCAGCAGCAGAAAGAAAACAATTAATATAAAAAATAGTTCTCCGGAGGAAGCGGGGAAAGAACTAACATTTACTAAATGTCCAAAATATGCTAGGCTCTCGTCTAGATCCCTAGCCTACATCCTCTCGCTTAAACCCCCAATAGTCTTCCAGGGTAGATATGATTATAAACAGAATATAGAGTAACTAGGGTTTCAAAATTCCTCTCTTTCTTACCTGTGTCTTTCTTCTTCTCTCGGGAAAGCTCATGCACAGTGGCACCAATTTCATGCTTCAAGATCTTAATGATGTTGGCCAGAGTAGGCATGCTGCTCTTGTCCAGACTGGTGAAGATTTCATACTCATCTTTCTTTAAGCGCGAAGGTCTGGATTCAATGTGGGTCAGATTTATTTCATTCTCCTAGAAAACAGAATTGGGCATGTGAAGAGGACAGTTGTCATGAACGCAGACCAAACATACCAAACACACCAAACCAGAGCAGAACACACCGCACAAGGAAATGCAGACAGATGGCGAATAGGATTTTCCAAATCAGAGTAGAAGAAAGTCCTTGAAGTCGCACAAGTTGTCTATTTTCTTTTTTTTTTTCAAAACCCAATAACAAATGGCAAGAGGTGAGGATATAGTTCCAATACTGCAGAATTTAACCACATGGAAATCTGCTCAAGGCCTAGAGTTGCAACCATAGATGTTGATTTGGTTCGAATGTCTAGGACAGTGTTTGCCAAAAATATTTACATAGGAAAACTCCCTTTCCCAAATGAAATCCCATGGAATCTCAATAATAATATTTCAATAAATAGATAATACAGAAGCAACATTTTTCTGCTTGAACATGGTCCATAGGAGTCAAGCTAATTGGGTTTAAATCCAAGTTCTCAATTATATTGGCTATGAGACCTGAAACAATTTACTTTATGTTTCTAACCTTCAGTTTCCACATCTGTAATTTGGTGATAAAAGTGACACCTGCTTCATATATTTATTGGGAACATTGGGTGAAATGATACATGTACACTGCCAGGTACATGGTAAATGCTCAGTAAAAATTATTTAGTGTAATTACTGCTCACATGTTTATTCAAATATACAACAAATGTGTAGGCAGCGTCTACCAATACCCATTACTCTTCTAGGTGGTTGGGCTACATCAGTGAACAAAACAAAGGTACTTCTCTTTATAAAAGCTTCCATTCAAGTTATAGGGATATAAACACAAACATAATGCAGTATTTAACAGGACAGGACAGGACACATGAGGCTTTTTGAGAAGGGGAGAGGCTGCTTGTATTAAATGCCACAAAAATAATAATTGCTTGATATACCTACTCAAATTCAATGTCTTTAGCTGGTGAGATTTCGCTATTATGAATTTGTAATTAAAAAGTTACTTAAATTGCTGTGAAATTTTAATGCATGGCAAGTTATCTGCTACTTGTTCAGAAAGTCGGTGATTGCATTGAGAGCGCTGCTCATTATAAAGACAACCAAGGGGCACCCTCTACCCTTTATTAAAATAAGCAAATAGCCCAGCCAGTGTGGCTCAGTGGTGGAGTGTCGACCTATGAACCATGAGGTCACAGTTCGATTCCCAGTCAGGGCACATGCCTGAGTTGCGGGCTCAATCCCCAGTAGGAAGCATGCAGGAGGCAGCTGATCTATGATTCTCTCTCATCATTGATGTTTCTATCTCTCTCCCTCTCCCTTCCTCTCTGAAATCAATAAAAATATTTTTTAAAAGAAGCAAATAACTGGGGTTACCCCAAACATTTAAATAGACAATATACCCTGAAAAAATAATGTTTAACTTGAATAACTCAACAACTTCAAAACACAAAATTAATCAACTTTGTCATTCAAGAAGTATTTTTTCCCTTAATGGTTAATGGCAGGTAAAGAGAACATGAATAATTACAATATGAATACATTTTTCACTTTGAATGTCACTTCACAGTTTAGAATTATTTTCTGTGATCGTCCCCACAACCCTTTGAGAAGGTTAAAGGAGAAATAGAGAGTGAAATCAAAGATGAAGAGGTTTTTCCAAAAGTGGTAGGAGACGGGCTCATTTTTTCTGACTTCAGAGTCATGGTGATGGGGTGGTTATCTGTGGGCACCAGTTGCAGAGGATACAGCCCCGATGATGACCCCAGGTTACCCAATGTGAGGACATGGACCAGAGAGAGAGAAGGTGGAGGAGGGAAAGCCAGAGAGATAGCAGTTGCTTTGAAGCTTTCTTTTTTTTTTTTAAATATATTTTTTCCTGGGACCTTTCAGTCCGCAGGCTGACGCTCTATCCACTGAGCCAAACCGGTTTCGGCCGCTTTGAAGCTTTCTAAGCAAACAGAGGTAACTTCCTAAACAAAGAAAAGAATATTGTCATCCTTCTTGGCTCAGAAAGAAAAAGAGTGGGTGAGTCCCACCGGCTATTTACGTAAGTTGAAACTTCAAAAGGAAGAAAGAACCAATCCCTGACATTTGGAGAGCAGAGAACACAGCAACGCCAATAGCCAGGACAGGCCACACCTCTGGCAAGCTTACCTGCTGACTAAGGAGGACAGAGGTGGTGGGGGGGGGGGCAGTTAGGGGGAGGAAGGGCTGGAAGGCTGATCATAGGCTGTTAGTACTCACCACCCACACCACACCCCTGGCAACAGCACTGCCTCTAGGAAGAGCCATAAAACAATTTGTACCCCAAATTCAGTTTGTGCTATTCTAGAGACTTCACTTATGGGGACATACTTTACCTAAGTGTGTAAACTAACTAAATTCCCACAATAGGGGAATGGGTAGGTAGACTATAATGTAATCACTCAGTAGAGAGGACACAACTATTAAAAAGCAAGTCACAACAACATCTTATATAAAATAAAGTGTCAGTGGCCATTGCATGATTGGTGGTCTTCAGATCATGGGCCTATAGATGATTTTGTTTCCTTCTTTCTATTTTCATTTTTATCATAGTTCAACTTTTCTAAAACAATGTTTCTGACTTTTATAATGAAAAATTCACTTTATTTCTTACAGGGTTATAATGACAACCCCTTGGGAAAATACTTACGATGGATATAGGTATGTGATAATTAACAATTTTTTTTAAAAAATGATGCCCAGGCCAACAAAAGACTAGAATGAAATGCATCAAGCTTTTGTTTGATCATATTTGAAATAAAGATAATAATGTTACCTGACAGCTTAGTGAGAATTAGAAAGAGAGAAAGTATTATGTTGGCTGCCTTCATAGGTATTCAGTAAGAACTCATTGTACTCTGCCTGTCTCATTGTGGTAGGATACACATTTCCCTGGACATCAAAACATATTCTGTTTCAGCTCTTTCCTCAGCTCCTTTCCCTGGAACATGTTTCAGAAAAGAGAAGGAAGAGCTGAGCATGTTTTCAGAGGAGACCAGACTGGAAGCAAGAACTTCTTGGACCACACTACCTGCTGCTGCCTGAGAGTACACGTAAGTGAAGTTATGCCCTGCCTATCTCAGAGGTCACATCAAAGACATTCACAAAGAATGTCCCAAGTCATTGGTCTCAAGCAAACAAACGGAAACTTCCAATAGCTCATCCAGTCAAATACTTTCCATGGGCCAACCATTGGGGTACAATAGGGAACAGGGCAGGAAGAATCCCTGCCCTCCTGAAGCTGACATTCTTGAAGGAAGAGACAAATAATAACTGTCATGAATAACTAATAATCATCTTCAGATGGGATGGGGGAAAATAAAGCAGAAAAGAGGGGTAAGTTATCCCAGGGGTGCAATGGAGGTGCCATTTTAAACAGTGTGGTCAGGAAGTCCTCAAAAAATAAACAGGTGACATGTAGCATCGACCTGAAGTCAGTGAGGGAGGAAGGCATGAGGGAACAGTAACTGCAAAGGCCCTGGGCTAAGATAATGTCCAATATGACTGAGAGCCATCAAGGAGGCCAGTGCTGACTAGGGCAGAGTGAGCAAGAGGGAGGGCGCTAGGAAATGAGGAAGAGAAGTAACAGGGAATAGACCACGTAAGGCATTTTTGGCCATTACCTGAAGTTTGGTTTGCACTCCAAGTGATGGAAGAAGCTAAGGGAGGTAATCTGGAAGAGGAGACATCCTTTGACTCATGTTTTAAAAGGAACATTCTGGCAACTGTTTTATGAATAGACTGTAATGGGGCAAGGGCAGGAACGATCCAGAGGCTCTGTGAGAAATGATAGTTACAAAGATTGAGAAGAAATTGCATGGAGGTGCAGACAGGGCTTCTTATGTATTTCACTGGTCTCCTCTTGTGAGAAGGCCCACAACAGCCCCAATTGATCAAGAGTCTAGAAATTCAACCCACTGGGATTAACAGGAAACCGAAAATATTCAGAAAAATATAAACACAATTCATTTCTAGAGGGGGCTCAAGATTACTCCCCCCACTCCCCACCCCACACACACTCTACCTTGGAGGAGAGCTCTTGAGCAGATTCACGCTGGACTTTCAGTAGGATTCACACCCCAGAGACTATCTTTTGGGATTCTACTCTTGCTTCCTTTGGAAGTGTCCCTTGAAATCTTTTGGCCTTTTCTTCCCTGAGTCTTCACCCTTTTTGTTAGATTGTTTCTTCTCCACCCTCCCCTCCATGTAATTGGGGTTGTGTCCAACTTGGAGGAGACCCCTTCCTGGGGAGAGCTGGGGTAGCAGCTTCATCCAGGATCTTCTCAAGGCTTTAGAGAAAAAGGCCTTTCTTTTTCTTACATTCCTCTTTCTATACCTTTTCTTGCCACCAGAGCGATCTGATCAAAAAGGCACCGTGGTGTGGTCTGTTCCAGTCCAGGCCACCGAAAAGCAATCGTGTGTGCTGTCAATGGGCCACAGCGCTGTCTAAACTAACTTCATAACAGAAGTGGGAAAAGTAAGTTCTCTGTTCCTATTTCTCAAGTGTGTCCAGCTCTGAACTGTTCAGCAGCTAAAAACAGTACCTGTTTTCCATTTGAGGCTCTTCCCTTCAATAAATAGGACATCAGACCTGCACGAAATGTTTAGTGCAGCACCATTTGTGTGGACAAACCATGGAAGCCACCTAGGTATCCATCAACAGGAAGTGAATAAATAGAACCACACAAAAGAATAGATAGAGGGGAAAGGAATGAGCAAGAACTGTGTGAGCAAATCTCCAAAACAATGCTCACCACCCTCTCCTCAAGAAAGAGAGCTGCAGGAGAGTTACAATGTTATGAAGATTAAAGCTTGCAAAACGATGCCATGCATCACTAATGCTTGTCTATATAGAACAAAGTATAAAACATGCATGGGAATCATATGCATAAAATTTAAATTCACAGCTACCTCTCAGGAGGGAGTGCAGGAGGAAGGGATACCCAAGGACATTAGTCATTCATACAGTGTTTTATTTCTTAGGCAGGAAGTGAGTTACATGGGTGTTCTTTATATCATTGCCTATATTTGGGGATTTAAATAAAATGAAAATCATCTGGATTCTAAAAACTTTTCTCCACTAGTGGGACTCAAAGTTCTTATTTTTATTAAAAAAGAAATGTTTCCCGTAAGCATTTTCCTGTTCACAGCTGCCCTGGATCTAAGGTCAGGGTGGGGTAAAAGCAACCCTCGTGATTTGCTCTCAATCCTGTCCTGCTCACCAGGCCCAGGGGTCACGGGCAGGCCTCAAAGTCCAAACTGTAGAGTAATAAACATTGCCTGTCTGGATGCCCCCTGCCACCCGGCCTTTGTCCCCAGGAATATGAGGTGGGCAAAGGGCCAAGGATTTGAGGATTTCATGGCCAGATCCCCTGTTTATTCTCTTACTTCAAGTCATTTGTTTCTTTGTTTTGGAATTTACTTCCCTCTGCCTCTCCCCTGGACCACCTCCCTTCATGTTTCAGCTTAAACATTATGCCTGCAAGAAGCCTCCCCTGACCAACTCTATCTCAAGTCTGGGTTAAGGAAGCTTGTGGAACCCCAACCTCTTCCAAGGTCTATAGCGACAGAGAATGTCTGTCTGGCTCATCCCAGTCTCCACAGCACCTATATAGGGTCTGGAAACAGGAGATGCATATATATAAGCTGAATGCATACAGGAGAGAGTATGAGCCCACTGAATATCTGATGAGGGGAAATTGTGGGTCGTCTAGGCAGAGGTAGATAGAGTGTAGGAAGTGAATGTGACTAACATAGCTTGTGCCTTTCCCATTTGTTTCCAAAAGACCAGTCTACTGTGAAAAAGGAGGGGGAAGTCTGAAGCAATGTTTAGCTCCCAGTGTCTAGCCCTGGGCAGCTTGCTTCGCCTGAGCCTCTGTGTCTCCATCAATTATATGATGCTAATGGGGCATACCCGTCACTTAAGAGCTCTGCATATCTGCTGATTTGCTTGTTCCCTTCCCTAGGGAATACACAGTGCGGTGATTAGCAGAGGGCTAGTGGCGGGGGGAATGAGGGGGAGAGACCGCTTCTGTGCAGCTTCCCCAAGGAGCCTGCTTCTAATTTTATAGCCCATTAACCACTTGCAGTAAAGTCTCGCAGGAGACTTTTTTTGTTGTTAAGAAGGTATGGGACATGAAGTAGTAGAGGCTAAAAAAATAGAGAGCTAGGGAAAATGTTTAAAATAAATGCATAAAGAATTGGCAGAACAAGTCCCTGAGGACAATGGGGCATTGGTAGGTTAGCAGGTACAGTTTTTGGTATATTCCTAGTCTTGTGGCCCCAATTCACTAAAACATTTGCTTCTTTACTCCCACCACCCACCCAGCACATGCAAACACAGCACCTGTGTGTCTCTGTTATAAACATCAAACGAGTTGTGTTGCATTCTGATGTTACTAGCTGAGGTCTACAAAGCCACAGGCCCATTGGCAGGCAACATCGTCTCTTCATGGGATGGTGGCTTTGGTGCTAATCATCTAAGGAAAATATGGGCTCTCAGGAAGGGAATGAAACCTCGCACGCTGGGAGAAGTTTGCCCTCCCCTGCAGACCTCGCTTTCTGTTTGAGGAGCTAGGATGTCTCGTATGTGCTCCTGGTGAATGGGGGCTAAGAAAGCTTCCACCGCATGGAGTACATATTAAGAGCTTAAAGGTTGTATCTCAAAAACATTGCATTCAGAAAAAAACTATATAGCAATTCTTACTGAACACTTAATATGTAACTGCTCTGAGGGTTTTACAGGCATTAATATTTAATCCGCACAACTACCCTTTAAATCAGACACTATCCTATTCCCATTTTACAGATAAGGAACTGAAGCACAGGAAAATCAAACAGCTCTCCCAAAGCCACAGCACCGTCTCCCAGAGTCCACGCCCTTGACCACTCTACTGAACTGACACAAAGAGGTTTCAGAACAATGTGCAAAGCATGGGACCTGTCAATATCAATAAAGCTTTTTAAAGGACTGGAAGGAAATATGCTAAACTGATAAAAATGTTGCCTAGGCCAGCCGTTGTGGCTCAGTGGTTGTGTCAACCCAGGAACCAAGAAGTCACCAATTCGATTCGTGGTCAGGGCACATGCCCGGGTTGCGGGCTCAATCCCCAGTGCGGGGAGTGCAGGAGGCAGCCAATTGATGATGTTCCTCTCTCATCAATGTTTCTATCTCTCTTTCCCTTCCCCTTTCTCTCTCTCTAAAAATCAATAAAAACATATTTTAAAAATATAATAATAATGCTGTGGCCTGGACATTTGCAGGATGACACGATTGAAGGACTATAGAAAGAACTATAGCTATATCTTGAATGTTCTCTATTTTTAAAGAACAATATGTCAATTTGTAATTTTGGAAACCATAATCATACATGAGAAAAAATGAAAGTGAATATGTCCACATGCTGACAGTGGTTTATGGTAGATGGTGGAATTATGGACAATTATTTTTCTTGTATTTTGACACATTTTTCAATTTGGAAAAAAAGAAAGAAAGAATACCTGTAACAGATCCTCCTGCCCCCAGAGAATAGGAGGACGGGGCCAGAATATTTGCACATTTGAAAAACTCCATAGATGCTTCAGATGTACAGGGAGAGCTGTATTTGGCAGTTCAGAGAGAGCTTGTGGGCCTCGGAACCTGAGCTCAGCCCCATCTCTACCACACCTTTGCTGTGTGGTCGCCTCGCAGAATGTCAGTTTCCTCATTCAAAAAATGGAGTAATACCTTCTTCACCAAGTTGAATGAGGACCAAATCAAGCCTGGCTTACCACCTAATGTGGTTCCACACCCGCTAGAATGAGATTTTCCTCCTTGCCTTGGCACTTTGAATAATTATAACTTAACTCTGCATTTTCCAGGCTGGTAAGGAGAAGCAGAAGGTATGCTGGCTTATACAATGTTTAGGGCAGTTTCTGAAATACATCTGGGGAAAAAATCAATACATACTAACACCAACCCTTTTATTAATCACCCAGGACAGTAACCTCTGTGACCTCCTCTGTAAATGGGTCTAATAACATCACTTCTTGACCAGGGCAATTAAAATTTGGGGATAATGCTTTAAAAAGTTCACCCAAATGGTGAGCACACAATGCAATACACAGATGATGTGTTGTGGAATAGCATATTTGAGGCTTATGTAATGTTAGTAACCGATGTCACCCAATGAATTTAATTTTAAAAAGTTTACCCAGAGTGCACACATACACACACACACACACTCCTTGGGTACATTTCATCCAGTCTGGGTAATTTAGTTACTTGTGGTTTATTTATTAAGTTGAAAACATCCTATTAATTTACTATTATTTAATTTATTAACTCTACTGCCTGACCTCTCAAGGGGAAAATGCTGATTTGATTGACTGAATAATACAAGGGCTAAATTATTACAAAGGAGAATTTTACAGATACATTATTTTTATAAACTGTTTGTCATTCAGAAAGTACCTTGCCTCTCTTCTCCAACCATTGCTTGAGAACTGACATTTCCCATCCCACCCCTCTTTTTTCATAGTCAAGTTTAATTTTTTAATTAACTATTTTTAGATAAATTTCAGATTGACAGAAAAACTGAGAGAATACTGCTGAAAATCCCAACGTACTCTGCACCCAGTTTCCCTATTGTTCACATCTTATATTGGTGGTGAAATATTAATAAACCAATATTAGTACATTGTCATAAACTAAAGATATTACTGCATTTGAATTTCCTTAGTTTATATCTAATGTCTTTTTTCTGTTCTAGGATCCCATTCAGACCACTATATTACATATAGTCAGTATGTCCCTTAAGGTTCCTCTTGGCTATAACAATTTCTCAGGTATTTCTTGTTTTTTATGACCTTGAGTTTTAAGGAGTTATGGATCAGGTATTTTATATATTGTCCCTTAACTAAAATTTGTCAGATGTTTTTCTCATGGTTAGACTGTGGTTATGGGTTTGGGGAGGAAGACTGCAGAGGCAAAGTGCCATTCTCATCATTATCGATATGACTTGTCACTATTGATTTTGACCTTGATCACCTGGCTGAGCTACTCCTTGTTGGGTTCTCCACAGAAAAGTTACTCTTCCCTCATCTCATATTATTTTCAATGGAAGAAAGTCACTCTGTGCCATCCACACTGAAGAAGGGGCGGGGGTTGGTTCTTGTCTCTGAGTAGAATATCTACTTAAATTATTTGGAATTCTTCTCCATGGGAGTTTTGTCTCTTCTCCATTTATTTACATATTCAATCACCAGATTTCATTTTATTAAAGAACTCAGGGTAAAACTTAATTGGTTCAAAAATATTCCTTCTTAAAATCCAGGGCAAAGAGTAAAAGAAAAGTCTGATTTCCTTTGCTTATATTTAAATTTAATTTCATTCTTAATGAATCACTTAATATATTAAAATTTGGGTGTGTAGAGGATGTAAGATGACTAAGCCAAGGTTCCCTGCCTGAAGAAACCATCCTCAGGGCCAGAGAGAAATGTATACCCTGAAGGCAAACAAGTGCTACTGTTAAAAGCAAAAACATTGAGCCCTAACTGGTTTGCCTCAGTGGATAGAGCGTTGGCCTGCGGACTGAAGGGTCCCAGGTTCGATTCCGGTCAAGGGCATGTACCTTGGTTGCAGGCACATCCCCAGTAGGGGGTGTGCAGGAGGTAGCTGATCAATGTTTCTCTCTCATCGATGTTTCTAACTCTCTATCTCTCTCCCTTCCTCTCTGTAAAAATCAATAAAATATATTTTAAAAATTATAAAAAAAGCAAAAACATTGAGAAGATGGTAATTAATTCAAGAAAAGTTTGATAAAAAGAAGTCTAAGGCCAGGGCTGGTTTCCTTGATGTGCAACCAGGATTCTGAATGACTCTAACTATGAATACAGAAACTGAGGCTCAGAGAGAAGAACAACTTAATTAAAGTCACAGTTGGTTAATGCAAAAGCCTAAGCTGAAAAGCAAGTCTGCCAGATTCTATCCTATGTTCACTGCACCCAACTAGAAAATTACACAGAAGTCAGCTATGCCACTATCCCAGGCAGAAATGAATAATGCTCTTACCTCAAATAAGCGCAAGACTTTGGCTAGTGCGCCAACTTCTTCTTTGAGTGAGAAAATCAGTGATACGGCATCATTTTCATTGGAGTTGTTTTCAATATAGCTTGTTTCCTACAGAATTAAACATACTTGGTTAAAATGCTTTCCATGGCTTAGCAACTCATTTCTGTGAAACCTCCAGGGAGGAGACCATCAGGAACTCTTTTATCTAGTTAAACCTTGGAATATATAGATTCTATAGAGAAGTATATAATGTGATGGGAAATAAGTCAAGGTCAGTGATATTTTCAATAATACTCCTAGGTCAGATTTCAACTTTAGAAGCTTCAGTTATTCACTGGTGTCACCAGTCACCCTGTAGATCCAGTACCTTTTAATGAGCACCAGCCAAGTGCCAGGTAATAGGGCTCAGAGATTCAAAGATGAAGAAACTCAAAATTTGGTTGAATAGACACACAACAAACCAAATAACTAAAAAAATAAATTAAAAAAATAAATGCTTAGAGCTGGTTCAAAAAGTGTCCCAGGAAAACATTGAAAAATATAGGGTGGAAAGTCCTAAAAACAGAACACACAGAATTTTGAGTCTGAAGATGTGGGTTAGGATTCTCTCAGTTGAACTACTTTGGGCAAATCATTTAGCCTTCATAGTTTCTTCATCTGTAAAATTATGCTAATAACAAGCCCTGTCTAAGTATTGTTCAGATGATGAAAAAAGAAAAGATAAAGTAATTCAAATAGAATATTAAGAGGAGTCTATAAAAATGATGATAATATTTTAAATACATGAGAATGACTTCTTGGCCTTTGGCAAAGCTCTCAGGGAAGCATTAACTTGTTCTTGTATACTGGGATCTTCGATATACAACTATAAAAAAAGTTACCAGATACATAAAAGTACACAAATAACCCACTGGAAGGTGGATGTCTTAAACAAAACAGCAAAGCATGTCAAGGATCTAGCACTTTCTACATGCATGTGATAGCAAATTAGGGTGGGATTAGGATTGGCAGTCCAGAAAGTGCTGAAATTTTTTACATTAGTTTTATAATAATATATAAAGTTCCATGTGTGCCCACAAATAAATAGCATGTACCTAAAACTAGGAAAAAATGTACAGAAAATTACTCTCTTATAAGCAGATTAAAGAAATTAGTGGAATGGATGTTACATTATCTCAATGGATAGACCCTGTGTTGGACAGGGTCTATCAATGAGTGGGTGTAATAAGCCCTGCGTAAACACCAATGACCCTTAGGACAAACTTCTTTTAATTCAGAAAATAGATTTCCCCAGAACCTTATCTGAAACAGAGCAAGTGTGATTAGGAGTTTCAAATGAATTAGAAGACTGAACTGTTATATATCTTTATATGGAGCATAATGTAGTCTTTCTTAAAAATTTTTAATCCATCATTTATTAAGATCCTATAATGTCACAGGCATTTGGATGATCTCATTTAATTCTTGTAACAATCTAGGACAAGCATGTCAAACTCACGGTCCTCGGGTCACATGCGGCCCACAACGAATATTTTTTGCGGCCCAGCCAATATAACGGTATGTAAGAAACATTTTAATAAAAATTTTGTAACTTAACTTTTAAAATATTTTGTTATACATAATTATTAATAACAAACTACAATGTTCTCTAATGACTGATTACTATAATCATGTTGCATTCATTTCCATTACCCGCCTTACGCGCAGGCGCACCATTTCTTTCTACTAATACTAGCAGCATATATTTTAGCAGCTGATTGCCACGTCATTAGTCTTGGGCTGACTTGTTTGGCGTGCACAACAGGAAATATTTTGCTTTCGGAAAAGAAAAATAGGGGAAATATTTTGCTTTCGGAAAACAAGAAAAATAGGTTTATTTGCATTGCGCTTATTAATTTGTGCAGTTATTCAGTTTCTGGTAAGTTAATATTCCAGAAAAAATATTAATTTTTATTAAAATGTTCTATT